ACTGTGGAAAGACTGCTGAGGCTTGTCTGGCCCTCAGACTGTTATCCCTTGATGCTTTTCCACATAGGCACCAGTCATAATGCCAGGGGTAATGTGGAGCATACGAAGCATGACTACATGGGTCTGTGGGTGATGGTTAATGTCATGGAGGCCTAGGTGTTGAGTGAAGGTGAAGGACAGGAGGAGGAGTGGACAGATCCTATAACTGGTTGCACAGCTGGTGTCAGCAACAGGGATTTGGTTTATTTGACCATTTTTTGATCCACTTTTTGAGGATTGATGGTTGCCTGCTTGAAAGTGAAAGGGTCCTGACTATGTGCAGCCAACAGTCTGGCCAACTTGGTGAGGAGAGTTTTAAAATAGATGTCGCAATGTAGGGAGAGGATGATCAAAAATTATGTGAGGAAGTAGTTGACCAAGTTTGCAGGCAAACTATGTCTGTAAACATCATCATCAAAAAAAATCAACAAAACAGAGCTGAAGGGGGACCATCCTAAGTGTGTCCATATAAACAAAGTGCCTACCTGACAGAATTATGAGGAAAACTCTCACACCCCTTCTGGGAAATCACCATGACGAGGTGCTGCTCTGATGTGCCTGTTTGTTAATGGGTGCAGCATGGGGAACAAAGAAGAGGAATTAGAGGTTTGCATGCAGTGGCAGAGTTAGGATCTCATAGGGGTCACAGGGACATGGTGGGATAGCTCACACGTGTATTGCTGCTATGGATGAATATAGGTTCTCTCGGAAGGAAAAGCTGGGAAGGTGAGGATGGGGAGTTGCCCTTTTTGTGAGAGACCAGTGGGAATGCACGGAGCTCTACCTAGAGATGCACTACATGCCAGTTGAGAGTTTGTGAATTAGGATTAGAAGTCAACACTATGGTGAGTGTCTTCTACAGGCCACCTGGTCAGAAAGAAGTAGATAAGACCTTTTTCACCCATCTCGAAGAAGGCTGGTCTTTATGGACGGATTTACCCACCCTAATACCTGCTGGAAGGACAGGGTGGCAAGGCACAAGGAATCTAAAAGTTTTCTGTAGTGCATTGATAACAAATTCCCAACTCAGGTGATGGAGGAACCCATAAGGGGAAGTACTCTGCAGGACCTCATGCTTGCCAAGAAGGAAGAACTTATTGAGGATGTGAAGGGTGGGGGCAGCTTTGGTTACAGTGGCCATGAGATGGTGGACCTCAGGATCATGAGAGAAGAGAAACAAGCAAAAAGCAGGATGACAGCTCTAGACTTCAGGAAAGTAGACTTCGGCCAATTCAGGGACCTGCTTGAAAGAATCCCATGGGATACCATCCTGGAGAGCAGTCCTGGAGAGCTGGTTGCTTTTCAAGGATCTTCTTTTCTCTTCTAAGATCAGTGGTCAATCTCAAAATACAGGAAGTCAAGTAGTGGCAGCAGGAGGCCTGCATAGATGAGCAAGGAACTCCTGGCAAAACTCAAATATAAAAAAAACAGTGAAGAGAAGGAAGCAGGTACAACTGATGTGGGAGGAATATAGAGACACTGAGCATGCAGGGATGGGGTTAGGGAAGCCAGGGCACCTCTGGAGTTGAATCTGGTGAGGGATGCGAAGGGCTGTACTGGTGTACTGGGTCTGGCTGGAATAGAGTTAACTTTCCTCATAGCAGCTGATATAGTGCTGGGCTTTGCACTTGTGGCTAGAACTGTGTTGATAATACACCACTGTTTTGGCTGTTACTGAGCAGTGCTTACACAGCATCAAGTCCCCCCAACCTCCCACCCACCGAAAAGCTGGTAGACTAGGGGTGGGAAAGAGATTGGGAGGGGACATAACTGGGACAGCTGACCCAAACTGTTTGAAGGGGTATTGCATACCATGTGACATCACGCTCAGTGATAATAGCTAAGAGAAGGTGGTGAGGCGGGGGGCATTTGTTATTAAGGTGCTTGTCTTCCGAAGCACCCGCTATGCATAGAGGCCTGCTTCCGCGGAAGTTGCTGGGCTTTGCCTGCTGATAGGAAGTAGAAAATAAATCTCCTTTGGTTTTGCTTTGCTTCCTCATACAGCCTTTGGGAGTTTTTTTGTTTTGTTTTGTTTTGTTTTTTTCCATTGAACTGCCTTTATCTTGACCAACAAGATTTTTCATCTTATTCTCTCCCCCTGTCCCACTGAGGAGGGGAGTGGTAGAGTGGCTTCATAGGTACCTGGCATGCAGCCAAGGTTAACCCACCACAACTGGGTATGTCTGGGATGGAGTTAACTTTCCAGCCTATAAGGCAGCAGCAGGTGTGGTGCTGTTAACCGACTAGAAGGGCAACAAAAATGGTTTTAATAGGTACATCAGCAACAAAATGAAGATTAGGAAAAGTGTAGGCCCACTACTGAACGGAAATGAGGACTTGGCCACAAAGGACAAAGGAGAAGGCTGAATTACTAAATGCCTTCTTTGCCTCTGTTGACTGGTAAGTCTGGCCTTCACCAACCCCAGGTCCCTCAAAGCAGTGTGAAAATACAGAGCGAGGAAGACTTACCCTTGGTAGGAGAGGGTCAGGTTAGGAAACTTTTAAAATTGCTTCAACATTATTTTTCTGAATATATATATCACAAGTCATATGTGTTCTGTCATGATGTGTGATGATGCCTTATCTTTTGTTGTGTTTGTAAATTGAAGGCTAACTAATTATTTTCATAAATTTGCATGATGCTGTAAGACAATTGCAAAAGTGATTTTGAAAATTAGTGAGTGGGTGCTCTTTTATCTAAAACATTAGGAACCTCAGCTTTAACAAGAGAACAATTTTTTTTCACCAAGAAAAATCAGTGAAGCAGAAATATAGGGTCATTCTTTCTTATATTTTCAGCAATGAAAAATTTGTGTAATAAACAGTGAGAAGCTAGTATCTAAAAGAATAGGCAGCAAGACTCGAAGGAGGAGGCAGAATAGGTACGTCAGAAGGCCAATGGAGGTTTCTAAACCACCTTCACCAAAATTGAATTTTGAACCAAATGCAGAACTAGTGGAGGTATATGAGTTTATTTTCATTATATTTGTAACATTTCTGAAGGGGCAATTTTTAGAACATATTGGAGTTTGAAAAAGCTTGAGTTTAGGAAGGTAATAAAGAAAAGCTCTGGAGCAGCTTAGGTGAGACTATATGAAGTCTTACATTGTACTGAGATAGTAACAAGTGCAGAAGTGAAAGAGAGAAAATGATCAAAGTCTCAAAATAAACCTAATTTAATATTGGAAGCATATCATAGTATTTATTGTTAAAGATTAGAGCTTCTCTTCAGTTTCTTATGATTAGGAAAAACACTTGGTACTTCAGCAGTTCTTCATCTTAATTCCCAAGCAGGTCATGAAGATCTTTCTAAAACTGATGTGAGTTATATACATAATGGATTTTAAGGGAATGTAATAGAACATTAAATGTATAAGCTGATATCGGTATTCATGTTTCATTTTCCCGTAAAAATGACAGATGGGTTGTTTTAACAAATTCTCAGGAGAAAGCATTAAAAAGAGTGATGAAATGAATATGCAATTCATAGGAGACTGTTATGTAAAGGACCATATTGAGGAACTTAGAGGCCTTCTCTTTCAGTAAGTTTTTAGTGAATTAAGATAGTATATGTGAAAGACTGAGCAAAGCCTGCAAATTGCAATGTCTTTGTTCTTCCTTTTTTGTGCAGTTAAATACTCCAATAAGAAATTATCAACTAGCTTATGCTAGTTTTACATTACATTTTATATATATTCAACAAACTATGGTCTCAGAAAAATTGAAGTGAAACCAGTACAGTGATTTCAGGATGCATGCAAAGACAAAATAAACACCATAAAATTTCTAAATACTGTTTGTTTCTTACACTTTGAATAGTAAGTAAGTTTATGTATACCTTTTTAATAATGTGGGAGGGAAGACCTTATCCTTCATTTTTCTGTCATTCGTAAACGAAAGTATCTGTGTTACTCTTCCACTGAGCTTTTCTCATATTTTTGCTTGGTAGTTGAGAGCAGTATGAGCTTGAAATTAAAAACACGTGAAAGTTCTGACAAACTTACAGTGCCTGGAAATTATTACAGAGGCAGACATCCTGTGTGTTCTGGAAAGCAAGATGCCATGTGACATTTCAGAAGCTTATTAAACCTGAAAAAAAAATCAAAACTACTTGTTATTTTAAGAAGAGATACTTCAGAGAAAGTAAAATCTGATTTTACCTTTAATAAGTTACTAGAAATTGAAATAGCAAAGCATTTTTTCCCAAAGTCTAGGGTTTTGTTTTTGCATTTGTGCCTTACACAATTTTCCAATAAAGATTTAAATTCCATAACTGGAATTCACTGCAGCATCTTGTCATATGTCAGGTTGGCAGTTTCAGAACACATGCTAAAATATATTCGTGTAATAAGCTGCATGTGAATTAAGATTTGCAAAATGATACTATCTCTTGAAGTTACTGAATAAATTTGGTTTTTCAGTGGCTGTAATGAAATGGAAGTAATAAAAATGTCAACATGATAGCAGCAGTACCTCTCAGAGTCTGAATTACTTAGGATTTATACATATTCCATTTAGATTGTATTTATTATTTATTTGTATTTCATTTACTTCCAGGTGGAACTAGTCTTATCAAAGCAAGAGCTATATCTGGCAGCATGGTTTTTAGTACTCAATACAACCTTGTTATGCTGAGTACTCTACTGCCTTTCATATTGACACATTAACACAAATACTAAAAGCACTAATTCAGCTAAGTGAAGATTTTTCAGAAATGCCAGTACTTTTGAAGTAATTGGGTAGGCAGAGTTGTCTCAGAAGTGTGGTGTCTTTATTGAATATCTCATGGACAATAATGAAAGTATCATTATAGTTTTAATCCAGTGTCAGAAAAGAGGGAGTATATGAATTAATTCAAAGCTAACAAGGTCATATGAAGTATTACGAATTAAACAAATAATTTGTTATATAACATAATAGTGTCCCTGTTTATTAACTGGACATCACTTGTTCTTTTTTAGAATTCTAACCTCATTCATCAAAAGGTTTCTCCTCCTGTGGAGCAACAAGGATCTCCAATTTTGTCATTCATTACTCTGGAACAATTCAGTGCCATTCGCCTTGTGCAGAGTGTCCATCAGTCACTTGCTTCTTTAAGTAAGGTCATCAGAGGTACCTCATTACTGAGTTCTGAAGTACAAAGACTAGCAAGTGCACTGCTAAATCAGAAGGTAAGTCATTTAGTCATGAATTTACATTTTAAGCAATGAAGAAAACAAAGGAAACAACAAAATTCTGATACATGTTTTCATGTCACCATTTGCTCTAAGTTCTTTTATTGATAGAAACTCTAAAATGGAGTTCTTTTATTGATAGTAAAACAGAACCATGTTTTTTCTGGAATGAAAACCCAGAAAAATGTTGCTTCAAGTACTTGCAGAAGCTTCTGAGTATATTATACTTTTATCAAGCTTTCTCTTAAGGACAAATCCAATAATATTAGAAGTCATGGAATACTATTTCCATTTCAAATACCAAATCATGCTAGATAAGTCACATGTGTTAGCCGGTAGAACATGTAAATGTGTCCCTCTTCTTCATTTTTACAGTTTCTTAAAATTTAAGTTTTACTGCAGTTGTAATCACAATTCGCTCTCTGCATTTATTCAGTATGGATTATTGCTATATCACACCAGACAAGCTGTGCGTATCATATCAACACATTATCTCACCCTGTATTTTTGATATGCAACTGTAAATGTTAAACAGTATAAACTGTTTATTCTGCTCAGCATCTTCAGTATTGTGAATTATTCCCCAGGTAATGATTTACATCAATTCTCTTTTACATAAGTAGGAGAATCTTGCAGATTCAATTTCAGTGTGCTTTACAGATTCCTGTGGAGTAGGTACAATTAGTGTTTTCATCGTTATTTTATAAGGAAGAAATCTAACCCAGGATCTTTTAAGCCTTTCTTTTTGAAGTCACTGAGAAACTTGTATGGGGAGATCTTGCAGGATTTTATTCTCAAGTGTTATTTTACAGAGACATTATGATGATGACAAAATAATCACGTAGAGGAATTACACCAGATTCACTTCACCACAGACCCACACAACTGCATGTTAAAGTCTGAGGAGGCAGTCAGCAAAGGAGTGGGAACCTGTGTCTGCAGTTGAAAGATGGCTTTCCAAGAAAAAATCAATTTATGCCTTTTTGAAATGTTTGTGGAACCTACTGATGTTTCCTTACTGAATAGCAGATTTCTTCTAAGTTTTCCATCAGCGCCGTATCTCTGTGGGCCACATAAAGAATTAGCAGGAATATGACCTTCCTATTAGTGGTTGTATGCTTTGATCATTATATTACTTGTATTGCCTTCTTTCTTTGTAGATCTATTTGATCTCCAGATTATTTAATTTCATTCAAATTGCTATCTTAAAATGTAATGATGATGGTTTTGAAATGGATACTTTCAGTAAATATATTTTTATTTCAGTGTCCTGTCACATGGCAAAGCAAGTGGGAAGGTCCAGAAGATCCTTTACAGTATCTTAGAAGTCTTGTAGCTCGAGCACTTGCTATACAGGTAATTTTAAAAGAGTTTTTTAAAAAAGTTTTACCTCCATACGCTGATGTTCAGTGACATGGTATATTATGTGAATTGCACTACAGTAGGCCTTTCCAAACTCAAGTCCCAAAGAGTTTTAGATGTGTGAAAAGGCACATAAACATTTAAAGGTAGAATAGATAGAAATGTGAGGACAGTAGACTGAGCAATTTGAAGTCAGTAACTTTAAATACAGTAATGTTGTTAGTTATTTCATGGTAGATTTACATCTTAGATTTTAGTCATTAGTCTTTCTGATGAACTGGTGGGAAAAAAAGGTGGATTTATTTACTCAGATGAATCTTTACATGTAAATCAAGACATACTGTTTAATCTCATAGAGACATACCTGTAAAGAGATAAAGTAAAGCAGTTCTAATAGACGTAATGTAGAAATTCATAGAAGACTAGTCTTTGAAGCAAATAAAGAAAACATCTGCATTCTCCAGTTTTACAAGGGGCTATAATAGAAGGTGCAGAGTCTGACAACAATTCTGTCAATTTACAGTCTGACAGTGAAGAAGGTAATTTTTAGTTAGGGTAAATCTGTCTATACTTTGATTGACAGAAGATGTATATTTAAGATAATAGGCAGACAAATAAAAAAGTAATTTATCTAAATTAATTAGTATTTAAGGAAACAGATTGGATCATGTTGGATACATAGAGAGGAAACTGAGAGAACCTTCCAGAGAGGAAAGGTTCCTTTAGGAGGGACAGATCTTGTATTACATCCAGGCAATAAATAGAAAGCTGCTGGTTTTGACCTTGATTTTTTTGGCTAATGCTTAATTTTTCTTTATACTTTCATTCACAAAAAGGATCAAATTATAAACAAAGTGTAAATATATATAGTAACAAGTGATAATGCATGTTCAGATGTTATTTGGTCATACAACTAGGATTGAACTTAGTGCTTTCTGTCTTTTGTCTATTATAGTCATTATTATTGAAAAAGCATCATTTGTGGCTGAGTCAGCAGTGTTTGTAATCCTCAGGAGCACCTTGCAGTTTGTGACCTCTGCCTTTATTTGGCTGCGACCAAAATACATGCAATTTTCCTTACTTACATGATTTTTTTTTTTTAAATGGAAGCCTGAGATTAGAGTTCAAACTCCCATAGAAAGTGGAGATAATGTGGCAGAGTGTAACAGGTTGAAATTAGTGTTAATTAATAATAGATGATTTTCAACCAAGGATATTCAGAATTTTTATTTCCATATATTACTTCAGTCAACTATTGACAAATGTGCTGCATTATTTTACTATGATAGTAATCTTCCTTCTCATTATTCAAACTGCTGACAAAATTGTACATTTGGATTACTCATTTTTATGAAAGTTTTAAACAGTTATTTCCTGTAAGAGAGGGACAGATTATTAAGGCAGAGCTTTACAGTAGATATTTAACTGTATCCATAAACAGTAAAATATATTAATTTTTTTGTTAGTGACAATAGAAAGTAGTGACAGTTGACCAGATACTGGTTCTTATATTTTTATATGTTTTTTTTAATGTCAAATATGTAATACAGTTGTATTTGAAGCAATTCTTAATGATACATTATCAGTCTGTTTTGCTTCTCAAGCTTCTAGTCAGTTCACATCTGAAATACAGTTTCTATGTTTTTATCTTTTTATGCATTTTATCAGAAAAATGTTGATTACTTCTAACTATGTATTTGAATTGAATCATCTTTTTCCTTGAATGTGATTCCAATTCATGTTTGTGCATATTACACTAATATTTTGATTAGCCTTCATCATTTTTTAATTAACTTTCCTTTCTTGTGACTTTTCATTATTGATTTTATAAATGTAATTTATCACTAGTTAATTCTAGATTTAGTATTCAGAAATTCAATAAAGGCTTCAATAAAGATTTTCTCATAACTCTGAAAATTATCTTCAGATTTATATTTCAATAAAGGCTGTATATTGGATCGGATTAGTTTTATAAGACCAACTCCATCATCATGATTTTTGATAGTTACTCATACCTCTCTCTGTTTCATACTATAATATAGTGACTTCTGCCTTTACCATTTGAGACAGATTTGATTTAGGTATTTTTCAAGCGGAAAATAGGAGACATTGAAACACTAAAGTTGTACTGAAAGATTGCATCTACTAACGATGCAGAAAGTCTCTACTTAGGTTATTAAAGGCTGCCTTGTCAAGATGTTTGCTGCCAGTGCATAAAATAATAAAAGCAACTGCTTTGTTACAAACATTTAATGGGGATGGGGAGAAACCCAAAGTATAGGCCAGATGGTAGAATAATTATAGCAGAATTTATAGAAGTGTAAAGATGTTCTGAGAGTATTACACAACAACAGACAGAAAAACAACAGGTGTTGCATTTCTCAGGTCTGAATTCACTCAGTAAAAGCAAAATAAAGGAAGGAAATCTGCCTACTTAAAGTGTGAACAAATTAGTATATGCAAAATGCAGTAGAGCCATGTTTGGCTGTGTATTATGTTGTGGTGATACAGCTGATGGAAATATGTGATTTCTTCCTAGGTGGAAGTTCTGATATTTGGATGGTAGCTTTTGCTTTAAATTAAAACAAAAATTCTATGTATTGAATATTCTTCTAAGATGAAGAGTTCTGAATACTTTTCAATGACATTGAACTTTACAATATCATGTTTCAGCTTGTCTGTCTACAGTGATTTATTTGCTATCAATATTACGATATGAAGCTTATGAATCATCATAGATCTTTGTGTTCATTGCAATTCTTGGTCCTTATATTCCCAGTTACCTCGTGGTGACATCTTAAATGTGTTCTGTGGTTTCCCTCTCTCATGGTACGTGGTTATAGCTCAGCAATAATATACATCATTGTATAACAGAATGTAAGTCCATCCCAGTCTGTAGATAAGTGTCTTCTCATGGCTATGGATACCAGCAAGAGAGAAAGAGAGGAAGAGATCCAGAACTACATCTATTAAAAGCCAAAAGAGCAGCCCAAGCAAATGTCAGATGAATATCAAAATTGAAAAAATGTTTCGGGTCAATAAATTGGAACTTACTTGCTCCTACAAGAACTAAATCAAGAGCTTAATTTCACTTCTTCCAAAAAAACCCTCACTCTTATTCCAACAAGACCTTGTATTTTAAATGAAAATATGTAGTTCATTCTTTTGGACTGAGCTACTTTTATGTCATCTGTAAAAACAGTTCTTCCTTTGGATGGCTCTTTGGTCAGACAGCAGCTTAAAAGACTTACAGCGTATTCTGAAAATGAAGACAGTTTGACCTCAGAATCATAAACACTACTTTCAGAGTTCTAATCAAGGAAATGTTTATGAATACATATACATGTTTTTATTTGCATAGGTTATGAAAGTTCTTATTGAAAATATGTGTTTATCTATAAAGTCCTCTTTTGAGGCCATATCTGAACCACTTGTTCAGTTTTTGGCTGTTCAAAAAAACCATTGCCCAGGTTGCCCAGAGAGGTTTGTGGACTCTCCACTTTTGGAGATATACAGAACCAGAGTAGACAACGCCCTGAGCAACCTAAACTGACATTGAACTTGTCCCTACTTTGAGCTGCAATTGGATCAGATGACTCTCGGAGGTCCCTTTCAACCTAAATTCTATAATTTTGTGATTTAAAACTTCACCACTGTACCTTTTGTGTCACATCTGCTCTAACGAATATGCACTGATTTGTACCACTTCAGTGTAGTACTTCTCTGTGAAATGTTAAATATTCAGTAATGTTATATCTAGTTATATGTCCTGAAAATTTCAAATGTTTCATGTATTGCTTAGACATACATAGTGGCACTTACTAAGATAATCAAGAGAAAACAGACACAAGTTGCAGAAGGGAAACTCTGATTAGGAATTTGGAAGGACAAAATCATGTTGAGGGTGGTCAGACACTGGAACAGGTGGCCCAGAGAAGGTTGTGGAATATCTACCATTTGAGATACCGAAAATATCATTGATCAAGCCCCTGAGCAACCTGCTGTAGGCTGGCCCTTCTTTGAGGGTGGGATGTCGGACTATAAGATCTCCAGAGGTCTTCCAACTCTATGTATTCTATGATTCCATGATACTGTAGGATACTTTAAAATTTCATGCAGTAGGTATCAAAATGACATACAAATTATTGCTGCCAAATGTTTAATTTACGAATAAATTATTTCTGTAACATATTGTCATGGTTTAGCCCCATATTTCTGTGTCTACACAAAGGTATGCTTTGCTGAACAAACCATTTGATAGTCTGAGCAGTAATCCCATGTCGCAGTGTTCTGTTCAACGGAGTGTAAATAGCTTTAGCATGAGCCAGCATGGTGTGTCCCAGGATGCCATGTTACAGACATGGCCATGCTGTCGCATAGTTCCTTTGTTTAGACTGGGGTTACATTAGACACTGTTTCCATTCTGTGATCTCCTTCCTTGTAGAAAAATAGATTTCCTTCTCTGCCTTTTCATTGTGGTATATCTTGGGATATGTATCCCACAGAGTTAAACAATTTCTGATTAGACTGCTTTAATGTGGTTGATAAACATTACATACTGTGCTGCTTTTGGCTGGGGTAGAGTTGGTTTTCTTCATGGTAGCTAGTATGGGGCTATGTTTTGGATTTGGGATAAAACTGTTTTCAATAAAGAGATGTTTTAGTTGTTGCTGAGCAGTGCTTACCGAGAGTCCAGCCTTTTCTGCTTCTCACACCACCCCACCAGTGAGTAGGCTGGGGGTGCATGAGAAGCTAGGAGGGAACACAGCCAGGACAGCTGACCCCAACTGACCAAAGAGATATTCCATACCATATGATATAATGATCAGCAGATAAAGCTGGGGGAAGAAGGAGGAAGGGGGGGGATGTTCAGAGTGATGGTGTTCATCTTCCCGAGTAACCGTTACACATGATGGAGCCCTGCTTCCCTGGAGATGGCTGAACACCTGCCTACCCATGGGGAGTGATGAATGAATTCCTTGTTTGGCTTTGTT